CCAGTGGGACTGATAGGAATGCATGCCTTAAACAGTTATAAAACTTGAGATCAAATTCAAAAGCATCCAGGGAGGGTTGCACTATGACAACTACCCTGTTCTGGAAATATTGGAGGCTACAGCATTGAGTGAATAGCTTTGATCGGGAAAAGAGCAGATGGGAAAGAGATGTTTCATCTTTCTTTTCCTTCTGCTGCCAGGTTATTTGGCCAAGTCTTTTACTCACTGGCCATGTAACTTCCCTGAAAATGTATGCAAACTTACATCCTTATGATAGTTATCCTGACTAGTAACAAAAATACTTAGGAGCTTATTAGATTTTCACAACACCTTGTTTCAAGGGTAATTACCCAATTCATTATTCCTTTTAATGTTAATTGCTGTTTTAATTTTGCTTATGGTCTGACATCATTGACTTCAGCTAAAAATATACCTCGCCTTTATGAATGAAACAGGGAATGAGAATTGGATACACCACGGAGGGTACTTTAAAGCAGGAGAAATATAAGATGGGTGATCACCTCACTTAAAGCTCCTGTAATAAAGCACTAATTAGTCACTAATTTTATTGATGCAATTTAATTCAGAACACAATTGTTCCAAGACAAGCCATAAGTTAGTTTTGAGCTGATTGGCACACAAATTGCTGCATTTTATTTTCTCAAATCTACTTAATTCATTTTTCATCCATGCCACAAAGTAAAGACATCTGGAAAATCTTCCACATGACACAGTTATAGCACTACAGTTCCAACTTAACTGCCATGGTAACCAGAAGTTCATGGAATCCAAGAGTTTACAGTTGAGGAAAGGGCATTTGGAATCCTCAGCCAGATTATTCCAGTGCCTCATTGAACTACAAGACCCAGGATACCAGGATGCAGCCATGCCAGTTAAAGTGGAACCCTACTGCTGCAACCATGTAGTGTGAACAGACCCTTGGTTGTCACTCAACACCAAACTAACTATGAATGCAACCATTAACTTTTGAAATGCAACTAGTCTTGAGGGTAAAGAAAGGAGCATTTAATTTTTCTTTCTCTTTCATAGTACTTGTGAAAACTATGCTCTCTGAAGCTGTTATTTGCACTTCAAAGGATGCTTATATAGACTTCAGTGGGAGCTTCCTTTAAAGTGTAAGCAGCAACAAGACTGTGGCTGGGAACAGAAATAGTTAACCTAAGTCTCCCCTGCTTTGCACCCCAATCTGAGGTCCTGAGTCTTTCCAGGAGTTCACCACAGCTACTATTTAGACAACAGCATATGTGTGTGTGTCTGGGTTATGTGCTTTCACATCATTGCTGACTTCTTAAATCGAAATCCCAAACAAAACTTCAAGCTGGGGGCAGTGTCACTTCTAGTAGTAGTAGTAGTAGTAATAATAATAATAATAATAATAATAATAATAATAATAATAATAATTTATTTGTACCCTGCCCCTCTGAGTACAATCGAGGTGGCTGACAAGATTTAAGATTACATACAATATAAAGTAGCATTTGCAAGAAGCGTATTTCATCTCAGAAAATACTAGAACTATTCAGAAGAGGCCTGATTCTGCTTGTACATTTGGTGTCACTTAAATGTGATGCCCATGGCTAGCTTTACTTACTTTGACAGTTCTTCAAATACCACCTTTCCTTTCAGTTTTCCTCATTTTTTCTCCATCAGGAGAGGAAAGTTAAAGACTCACTCATTTAAGGATGACAGTGCTGTTGGCAGCATAAAGGGCAAGCAGCAAAAGGCAGCTGCTGAATTGTTCATTCAAAATAGATCTTGAACTAGTTTTGTTGTTTCTGAATCTGGCAGGGTAAAAAGGTCTCTCTTTCATTTTCCCCTTGATTGGGATTTTATCACAGAAGAATTGTGGTTATCAGTGCAGCCTTTGGACGGGGAACCTTGAGGCTTGAAATGGAAGGACTTCAATCTAAACTAACATGCATGTCAATAGGAAACCATCTGCAACTGTTTAACTTGAAGCACTGGAGCAGAAGAATTGTTCCCTTGGAAGGACTCTTGGGAAATTGTCAGTGCGGAGCCAAAAGTCACTAATTCAGTTCAGTTGGTGCAGTGATGGTTCCTCACAGAAACCCAGTGCTTGATGGAGAAATTGAAGATTTCTCTCCTTATGATACATGTTTCATTATCAGAGTTTAATTGGTTGTATTGTGATTTCACCTCTACTCAGTACTTGTTGGAGAAACAGGAGATTCCTCCCCTTATGATACATATTTCATTATTGCCATGTAATTGGTTTTGTTGTTATTTCTCCCTCCTTTCTACTGAAAAAATGCACTGTGGTCTTGTCTACTGCATACTATCCCTGGGCAAGATCTACCTCTGCAACCACAGGGGAGAAGGAAAACCATAGACTAAGGTCCAAAACACATTGCAGAAATAATCCAGTTAGAGAGCACATTAACTGCCCTGGGTCAGTGCTAGGGAAACCTGGGAGCTGTAGTTTTGCAAGTCATTTAGCCTTCTCTGTAAAAGAGCTCTAGGGCAACAATAAACTACAATTCCCAGGATTCCCTAGCACTGAGACAGGGCTGTTAAAGTGGTCTCAAACTGGATTATTTCTGCAGTGTGTTTTGGACCTAAGAGAACTTGGTTGGAAAGAGACCTCTACAGACAGCTGTTCCTATTTGCTTGTTTTCCTGCTAGCTACTTTCATTAGAACATTCCACTGTTCTCATTAAATAAATGGTGCCATTGGCTGGAAGTGAGATGAAAAACTAAAGAGTCCAGAGATTGATTCAACATTGACTTGAATAGTGAGTTGCCAAGCATCTCAGGCATGGGGCACTTTTTCACAATGGTAGCAGTCCACCCCCCTCAGTATTTCATACCTCAAATATTTATTCTCAGGAGCACCTATATTTTTAGCCAACTCAATATTCTTCAGACTGAGTGACTATTATTATAAATTATTAACATGACCTGTAATGTATTAAATGCATGACAAAATCTGAAATCAGTCAATTTGAAAAAGATAGTGAAGACTATGTCCAAACACTACTTGTCTGGAAACAAAAGCATGGAAAACCTATTGCCATCATGTCTTCCTTGACAGATTCCTATGGCCACTGTTGCAGTTTGCAACACTTCCTTGCCTTTGCTGGTTTGCATGTTACTCTCTAGGAGTTTAGGCATAGAATATATTGTATTTATGGTAACTTCCCATTCATTAGGTTTTCTCCCTACATCTTCTCTCTTTTCTCTACTTTCAATTTTTTTTCTCTTCCTTCTCTGCCCTGTATAAAACACTGTATTGGATTATGTACAAACTTTGGTAAGTAGAGCTGCTTTATATGTTTGATCACACAACTACACCTATTTCTCTTCTAGACTGGCAAATGGGGAAAAATGTAGACAAACATAATACATTTGAAACAGGGCACTGGATTGTATATTTATAACAGCAGAATTAGGGAGAACCCTTTTTAGAAATGTTTAAGGTGTTGAAAGGTTATTGTAACCCTCCCCATGGTTTTTGATAAGTATCTGTTTGACAAGTCAGATTTGATGAGGCAGCATCAAATGGAGTGGAAAAGATCAGTTGATTAATGAATTAAGGTAGATTGATGATGATATAACATCATATCAGATAGTTATGAAGCTAAGAATTACTGACCCAGTAGTCAAAGCACTATTGACACAAGGGGTGAGCGGGTGGGGGGGGTCACCACATTTTACATTTGGCACATTTATTATTGTGTTTGTGGGGAAAGGAGTATCACAAAATTTGGTTTTTTAACATCTGCTATCTACTTCTGAATTTATTTATTTTTAAAAAGAAAAATATTGTCCTGACTTTCTATCCAAACAACGCACACACACACACACACACACAAAACACACTAAGATCTTTAGTGTCTGCCAAAGAGTGCTGGTGCGTCACAAAACTAAAAATTCCAGGATTCTGTAGAAATCCATGGTGGTTAAAGGACTATTAAACTTCATTATTTCTACAGTGTAGCTCCGCCTTAGGATTCTGGGAGACCAGTGTTCGAATTCCCATTCATCCATGGAAACCCACTGAGTAAACTTGGGCAAGTGACACTTTCTTAGCCTGAAAAGATGCCAGTAAGACTGTGAATGCCTGAGAAGAAGGCAATAAAACATTGAATAAGTCTTGCCAAGAAAACCCTAGGATAGGGTAGTCATAAGTGGCAGATGACTTCGAGACACACAATGACGACACATTTGTAACTGTTGCTGCTCCAGTAAGCACTTGCATAAAAAAGTTGTCTGTTACTCTTTTTGTTGATGATTTTTGTTCAGATGTACAGGGAATACAAATGAGCTATATTGCCATCCTCAGCATTGTAACTTCCCTCCTGAACCTTAAATGGACCCATCTCAGCACATTTTCAGTAGATAGAGATATTTGTTGTAACATGCACATTTTTCTATAACAGCGTTAAGCATTGTTAATAGCTGAGCAACATGCCAAGGTCTCAGCATGGAGGTCAGGATAGGGTTTTTGTTTTTTGCTTTTGATAGTCTCCCAAGAGATATTCTAAAAAGAAGACTTCAACATTGCATTCAAACAAGATAGTTTTGAGTCTCTTCTTTGCAATGATGGTCATGTAAGGCCTATGGTTGACTCTGAAAAAGCCTTTGTGTGTGTGTGTGTGAGAGAGAGAAAGAGAGAGACAGAGAGAGAGAGAGAGAGAGAGAAAATAAAAGAGGAAGTATGTCTCTGTGTCTGTCTCCTCCAGAGTTCCGTGATCTTGAAGCCCAGGCATCTGAAACTTTGTGTGTTTCAGCAACTGAAAGGGCCTTTGAGATGTGCATCTTGTGATTTGTTGTTGTTGTTGTTGTTGTTGTTGTTGTTGTTGTTGTTGTGTGTCTTCAAGTCATTTTCAACTCATGGCGACCCTAAAGTGAACCTGTCATGGGATTTTCTTAGCAAGATTTGGTCCGAGGAGGTTTGCCATTGCCTTCCCCTGAGGCTGAGAACATGTGATTTGCCTGAGGTCATCCAATAGGTTTTATGGCCAAGCTGGGAATTGAACCCTGGTCCCCAGAGTTATAGTCCAACATTCAAACCGCTATGCTATGCTGACATTTTGTGGTTATTTTGCTTTAAATGTGAATTCACTTATTTTAGTAACTAAAAAGTAACTGTAGCTTGAATGTGACCCTGGGCTAAATTCAAATGTTAGTCCCAACTAGGATAGAGCCACTGAATCACTGGAGTCTACACAGACTTTCTTCTAATTGGGACAAATAGTTGAATTTATCCTGTTAGGCCACTAGGTGGGAATCCCCAAGAGTCTAAAGCAGGGGTAGGCAACCTAAGGCCCGGGGTCCGGATGCAGCACCCTGAGGCCTTTGTACTGGCCCCAGGCCGGACCTGCTACCGCCATTGCCGCCACCCCCTGCTGCCACCGCCACCCACCATGATGATATTGATTATTGTTGTTATTACTTGTTTTTGGGGTTTTCTTGGTAAAATCTCCACAGGGGTTTTGCCATGGCTTTTCTGGGGCTGAGAGAGTGTGCATGTTTATTTTTTAATTTTTTTAAAAAAATATTTATTTATTTATTTATTTATTTATTTATTTATGGTACTTCAACCCTGATTGTCTGAGGGATAGCAACCCAGCCCCCGGCTCAAAAAGGTTGCCTACCCCTGGTCTAAAGAGTGAGAGAACTCCTCACAGGTGACTGGTCTCCTCAACAATAGAAAGGTTTGAAGTTTGGACCAAATATGGTATTGGGTGGGTCATTGGAGGAAGACCAGACTACAGAAGCCTTAATTGTGGGTCTTGTCACCTCTGGAAAAAAACACAGCTCGTATCTAGTCTGTATCTTTAATGCTTCATGAACCTTGGCTTTTCCTGACTCCAAGTAGGCATGCATGCATGCATATCCATATCCATAGATCTATTTGTGCTTGCTATATACCTTCAAATTGACTCTGAATTATGGTGACCTGTAATAAGTTTTTCTTTGCAAACTTTATTCAGAGGATGTTTGCCATTGCTTTCCTCTTAGGCTGAGAGTGTCTAACCTTCCCAAGGTTACCCAATTGGTTTCCATAACCCAGAGTCTGAATCCAGCACCACTATACCATACTGGCTCTCATCTCTGTATGTCAGGAAGAATGACATTTTCTGTTTTGTAGCTGTGTATCCTGCAGTGGTGGCTGATGGTTTTCATGTCAGTAGGTCTGTGAAGTTTTACTCTGGTTTTACTCTGAACTTTAGAAAAGTTATCCAATATGCTTATATGTATATATAGAGGGGGGGGGGGTTGCACTATTAATTGACTTGAAAGAAAGAAAGAAAGAAAGAAAGAAAGAAAGAAAGAAAGAAAGAAGTTTTATGTCATAAGTGGAAAGCTTTCTGTACACATTCAGAGATATACTTCAGAAAATTAATTTCTGAAAACAAAAGCCTGCTCCTATTTTCTATTTCCTATTCCTATATTTGGTTGTGAGAGCTGGACAATTAAGAAAGATGATAGGAAGAAAATCAAAGCATTTGAGATGTGGTGCTGAGAAGAGTGCTGACGATGGACAGCCAAAAGAACAAACATGTGGGTTTTAGAGCAGATCAAACTGGAAACTTCCCTGGAAGCCAAGATGACTGTTGAACTTCAGACACATAATGAGAAGAGAGGACTCTTTGGAAAAACC